AGTATATTATTTAGGTTCATCGTTCATTAAATACAAATATTGAAGTTCATTTATCAACTTCAAGTGCTGATTTTGAAACATAAATGGACGGCTTTTGAGTTGGTTCCAAAAAACATTATAACGTCCGACGATCGTAACATTAGCCATATCCATATTCGGGCGGTTGGTAATTCAGTCATTTCCTTTCAACTGGCAACACTGTATGTGTTGACATATTGACGTCACTATGTATGTATGTATGTATGTATGTATGTATGTATGTATGTGTGTGGGCGGTCCGGGACCTGACGCACTTAGGCCTCCCTTTTCGGGCCCATTGTACACCCACATTCCTGGGATCGCAAGTCAGCCATGGAGAAGGCCGATCTCGCGAGCAAAAGAGACCAACTTCCTAGGCCAAATCTTCTTAACATCCTCTGGGTCCAGGATACTGCTCCCAAAATGGATATCCCTTGCTGCCACTATTGCCGGGCATTCAGTGAGGATGTGAGTAGAAGTCTCTTCATCCTCTAGGCACCATCTGCATTCTGGATCCTCCACAATCCCGATCATGCTGAGATGTTTGTTCAGGTGGCAGTGCCCTGTCAGCAGGCCCACCACCAGTTTCAGCTCCTTCCTGTTCAAAGCCAAGAGGGCATTGGTCTGTCTTCGTGACGGGTTTCCTATATGGAGTTTGGACTGCCTCATTCGAGGAGCCTTTCTCCAGCTGTCCTGAACCTTTTCCGTCAGGATTTCCTTCATCTTGGAGTTGCTCCAGGATCGAGTGACCCCTAAGATTGGCTCTGGGCCAATCACTGAACCTTTCGCCCCCTTTCTGGCCAGACCATCAGCCATTTCGTTACCTGGTACCCCTGAGTGCCCAGGGACCCACAAAAGACATACCTTATTCGTTGCTGACAGCCTTTGTAGGCTATCTATGCACTCTGACACCAAGGCGGAGGTCACCCTATACGTGGTGAGCGCCTTGATCGCCGCCTGGCTGTCAGTGCATATAGTGATTTGCTGGCTGTGATAGCCCCTCTCGATATTCTCTCGAACACATGCAAGTATTGCAAATACTTCAGCCTGAATGTGACGTCACTATCAACCCTGTGTGAAAGCCCTTTACCACATAGAAAATTTGAACAGAGGTGATGTCAGATTTGCTGCAGTGTAGAACTTTGGGTGAAAAAATGGGTCTAACCTCAAATTTTATTTTGATCCCAACATTTTTTTTATTAGTGCCATTCGATAGTACCAGGGCCTACTCTCTCAGTGTTTGAAATATGTATTTGCACTCATTTCAATGCCACCCTGTATACCTCTATTTCTCTTCTCCAAATCTTTTTTAATATACGAATTGTCACTGACAAGCTAGTGAATTTTTCTTTTAGGCTCTCTGATAGGAATATTCTTTGTAGTCAGTGACATTTTGGGGCAAATCATCTGATCTGTCCTTACTACAACACGTATATTGAAATAATATTCATATTTTAATTTTATAGAAACGAGGAGAGAAAATCCCAAAAAATCTGGAATAATGAATGTACCACCTCCTCGATTAACCTACATATAGTATGTATCATGCCAACTTTGAAAAAGACACTGTAGATCCATTTTCAATAATAAATAAGCTGCTGCTCTTTGAACAAAATGATATACCAAAGATTATAATACACCTTTTGCTTCGTCGTGGAGTCGTGGCAATCTCAGTATAAAAAATGTGCACTGTCATATCGCAATATTTTCAATTAGTTGGAATCTCAAGAGCGATGATGCTTTATCGATGACAACGAAAATAGTGGGGAAAACCCAAAGTCCATGCCAGTCACATATTTACAGAATATCAGTACATTCATTAAACTTGTTCTAGAAACTTGCTATCTCCATGGGTACAGGTTGTATTTAATATCTGTTCTGCAAGCTATCATGGCCTGTGACTCAGCGTCAGCGACATATCTACAGAGATCACTATACTTACGTCGTATTTTTAGCGTTCACTTGTTTTGCTGAATCATTCATCAATATTATAAGGATATTATGTAAGAGGCGTAGATTCTATTGCGTAATTTAAATTGAACATATTAGCACAACTTACCCATGTGCTGTTAGTTGATTGACCATTTGATGATTCACTTATTGATTTTATACAGGGTGTTTCCTAACTACGGTACGAAAGTTCAGAGGGTGATTCCTTATTAGGTCGTGTTACGAAAAAAAGTTTCGACCTATATGAACATTATGTCCGTAGTTCTAATTTTGACTCCAATAAAGTTAGCAGGACCATTTTTTCAGATTTTTCAGATTTGCAATAGGTCTATAATTTAGTACTAATTTATTACCATATTCCCGAATTTATTACCCTTCATTTAACAAAAAGAACTAACGGCTCTGCTAGCTTTATGTCGACTTAGCAGAACCAAAGCTGAAAATTAATTTTTTTGAAAACTTCGAATATACCATAATTTATTACTATTTCATTACTAACTTATTACTATAACCACGAATTTTTTACTCATCATTCGACGGAAAGAAACGCCGCTTTGTCGAGTCATCAATAAGTAACTAGTTTATTTCTAATCTATTACCAAATTCGCAAATTTGCAACCCTTCTTTCATCAGAAAAAAAAAACAACGGATCTGCCATCTTTATGTCAACCTAGCAGAATCATAACTGAAAATCCTTTTTTTTTTAAACTTCAAATATACCATAATATTTTTTAAATGTATAATGAATTGACATTCATCATACAGACGGAAAGAAATTCTGAATTGAGAAAAACCTAATCACGAATCTGCGATTGAGGTCTATAAAAATAACAAGTTTCCATCGTTCGAGTTAGAACCCCTTGATTGGGTGAAAATATTGAAAAGGAACATTCTCAGATATATTTATGAACACAAAAAAATTGATATATATATATAAAGAAATACATTAAGAATTCGCATTCTCCATGTAATGAAAATATCAATTCTTTCACGTTTTATTCAACAGAAAACAACTACTTTCCTGGCTATATGCCACGACGAATATTGAATTTCATCTATTGAACAAACACGATGAGAATTTGAAAACAGAATCTTCTGAAGTAGAGAATTTGCATTCTCCTTCATATAAAGATATGTACATTATATCATTCTGAATATTCAACAGAAAACAATTACTTCCTTGGCTTTTTGCCACGTCGAACATTGAATTATATCTGTTGAACATCCAAGAAGAGAGCATGAAAAATCAAAATCCTCTGAAATTGAGAATTTTCATTATCTCTCAAATCGAATAGAATAATATGATGTATTATGATATGAAAATATAACTTAGTATTGAAATGAAAATTGAAATGTATAGGAGAATTTTATTTGTATGAACTATACAAAATTCGAATTCGTTGTCGAAATTAATGAATTCATAATGGCGGCTCCAAGATGGCGTACGAGATCTGGCATTATAGTCCGATTCGGCTGAAAATCAGTATGTCGGGGTTTTCGGGGTCGGACATTTTAATCCAAAACGGCGTACGAGATTTGTGATTAGAATCAGACCCGATTCGAAATTTTTGGGGCCAGGTTAGGTTAGGTTAGGTTGATATATAGGTCGCGTGCACGATGACCGAACCTGGAGGTAAAATATTGAAACACATCCGCACTTTTCTTTCTGTAAAACATTGAAACACAACCTCACTTTTTTTATTTGTTTACAGAGGAATCGAAGGATTGAAATAGTTTTTCACACATTTTTGGCATACGAATAATGTTTTTTGCGCTATTCATTAATTCAAGCATGCCTTCTCATTGTGCTGTTGTACAATACACAGCGAGAGACGTAGGAATATAATTTGTCAGGTAAATATTAATCTCACACAGTTTTCATTATAAAATGTTGTCATTTCTTATTAAAATTCCTTTTGCCATTTCTGCATTAGAAGCTAATACTGCTAATAGATTGAAAATGTCTACAACCTACAACACTCACGATCATATTTCGTCAGCATGTCAGACCAGTCCTCCCGTTTTCTTGCATGAATCCAATCTTCTTGCATTATTTTAGTAATTTCACGAGTATTTCTATTAGCTCCTATTGCAGAAGGAATTCCGATGAGAAATCAGACCAAACTTCAAAATGAAAACTATATGTGAGCGACTATAGTTAGGTACTTACTTTTAAATTATAATGTACCAACCGGTTTCCTTCGTCTCTCGCTGCATTTTTCGTGCATTGTACAACAGCACAATCTGATGGCATGCGCGAATTAATGAAAAGCCGGAAAACACGATTCGTATGACAAAACAATTGTGAAAAACTATTTCAATCATTCGTGAACAAATAAGAAAAGTGAGTATTGAAAAGGAATATTCTCAGATATATTTATGAACACAAAAAAATGGATATATATTTATAAAAAGAAATACATTGAGAATTCGCATTATCCATGTGATGAAAATATTAATTCTTTCTCGGTTTATTCAACAGAAAACAACTACTTTCCTGGCTATATGCCACGACGAACATTGAATTATATCTTTTGAACACACACACGATAAGAATTTGAAAACAAAATCTTCTGAAGTAGAGAATTTGTATTCTTTATATAAAGATATGGACATAATATCATTCTGAATATTCAACAGAAAACAACTACTTTCCTGGCTATTTACCACGTCGAACATTGAATTATATCTGTTGAACATCCAAAAAGAGAGCATGAAAAATCAAAATCCTCTGAAATTGAGAATTGACATTATCTCTCAAATCGAATAGAATAATATGATGTATTATGATATAAAAATATAACTTACCAATATGTTCAATATTGAAATGAAAATTGAAATGTATAGGAGAAGTATACTTGTATGAACTCTGATCTTGGTGAGCTTGGAACTTGACAAAAAAAAAGCGAAAAGTTAGGTTGTGTTTCGATTGGTCTCCAGGGTCGGTCATCTGACAGATCTTGCACGAAACCTATTATCAGATATTTGATTTTAACTGTACTGACGTGTTTTTTTTTTCGTTGTGGTTCCAGGTGGTCCTGAGTTGCACGATAAAGAAGGACTTCGAGTACAACAAGGTGATGCCAACTTTTCACCACTGGAAAACCGGCGACAAAAAGTTCGGGCTGACTTTCCAGGCGGCCGCCGACGCCCGCGCCTTCGACAAGGGCGTCCGGACGGCCGTCGAGGATCTGCTAGACGGTAATTAGATCCCTTTTTTATACCTATGAGAACCTCGAACAATGGAGATAATAATCGAGTGAAATATAAGTTCATGTGTGTTCTGCAAATTTGAAAATTTCATACTTTCTCAAAACACTTATATCTTCTCTTGAAAAAAAAACCATTGTGTTGGAAAGAAATCACCCTTTAATCCAAAAGTAGGTTTAACTAGGGTCCTTTGATGGAAATTGACGTTAAAGTTATGTTAAAGTCATCTTAACAGGGTACGGACAGATCCTCGTCTCCTCTCACTCTAAATTGTTTGTGAAACAGTTATATAGTTCAATCCTCATTCAATTCTGGGGATGAACACTAGATTTTTGACATTCGTTGTTTTTTAGGTTATATTGAGTTCATTGGCGTATCATACGTAATTTCCATATGGAATTCCTGATTCAACTGTACCAAGACATAAACTACTCAACACTAATTTCGTCGCACAACAATATGTCGCCCCTGTTATAATGTGAATAACTTTTCTCAGTTTAGAACAATTTGAATTTCGTTCACACTGTTCGATAGCCCAGTCCTTCAGCTATTATCTCGTATTTCATTGAAACATGAGGGTATTCACATAAAATCTCTACATGGTGTTTTCCGACACTGTGCAAAATTTCGAAATATTCAAAAGGCTCTCAAATAGTGAAAAATTTTTTTTTCTCAACTTCGACAACAGAGGCATGAAGATGATCTCATTACCTCGAGATGTTTCGCGAATCAACTTCCTATCTCTCTTATTTACAGAGTGATCTCAAAAAATCAACTTTTTGGTTTTGCAGCCATAACTTTTTTCTACGTCAACCGATTTTAGAAATCTTAGGCTCATTTTGAAAATGAAACTTCAGATGAGGAGATCTGGATACCAGAATTGACTCAAGATGGCTATCAGAGATCTAGAGTTTTCTTGAAAGTGACCCAAATCTGGAACGCCCTCCGAATCTCGGTTGGGAGGAGAATTGAATGAAAATCAACTTGTTCTCGGAAAAACAATTCATTCTGGATGCGTCCATATTTTCCTCGCTCTCAGTAGTCAAGAGTTGTGCGTGAGAAAACACAATTGAAACATGTTCTTGCAAAAACATCAGACCATTTCTCATCTGTAATGCATGGCCCGTAACCAACGTTACAAGAATCACATTGGACTGACAAACCCGACCAGCCAAGGCTCATCACAAATGATGTACCAACAACCCTATGCGGTCTCGCATTGTCATCAACGAGAACAAAGTTGTCACCCACATTAGTGTTAGATGCGGCATCGAAACTATCGAAATCTGTTTATGATTCGAAAACGAAGTCTAACCTGACTTGTCAGTCACTTACTATGATTCTTGTAACGTTGGTTACGGGCCATGCATTACAGAGGAGAAATTATCTGATGTTTCTGCAAGAACATGTTTCAATTGTGTTTTCTCACGCACTTTCTTGACGACTGAGAGCGAGGAAAATATGGACGCATCCAGAATGAATTGTTTTTCCGAGAACAAGTTGATTTTCATTCAATTCTCCTCCCAACCGAGATTCGGAGGGCGTTCCAGATTTGGGTCACTTTCAAGAAAACTCTAGATCTCTGATAGCCATCTTGAGTCAATTCTGATATTCAGATCTCCCCATCTGAAGTTTTATCTTCAAAATGAGCCTAAGATTTCTAAAATCGGTTGACGTAGAAAAGTTATGGCTGCAAAACCAAAAAGTTGATTTTTTGAGATCACTCTGTAAATAAGAGAGATAGGAAGTTGATTCGCGAAACATCTCGAGGTAATGAGATCATCTTCATGCCTCTGTTGTCGAAGTCGAGAAAAAAATTTTTTTTCACCATTTGAGAGCCTTTTGAATATTCCGAAATTTTGCACAGTGTCGGAAAACACCATGTAGAGATTTTATGTGAATACCCTTATGTTCAGTTTCTTAAACTACTATTTATATTTTACTCCTTCTCAATTCGACTAAGTATCTACGAACGCGTGTTTAATTGTTTTTTCAAACAACTTTTTATTACAATGCTTGTTCGCCATATTGGATCCGCCATCTTGAATATCCCAATTTTGATGAAACAATCATTATCTCCAACCTCGAAAACCCCCAGATACCAATGCTGAAAAGGATCGGATCTTCATTACAAAACTCGTCCACCATATTGGATCCGCCATCTCGAATATCCCAATTTTGACGAAATAATTATAATCTCCGACCCCGGAAATCCCCAGATACCTTCCAATTTTGAATAGAGATCATAATCACAAAACTCGTTCGCCATATGATCTTCCTGAACAAGTAAAAACCCTGTACTACCTATCATTAAAATTTTGAATGATTTTCTGTAGCGCCCATGGATGTGACGTGACAGCAATGTCAATGATGCCAATAGACAAAACTAAAGTCTCTAGATCATTAAAAAAGAATGCTGCTATGATCTGTCCGTACCCTGTTAAAATGACTTCAAAATTTCCATCAAGGGACCCTAGGTTTAACAATTCACTAAGCGTGAAATAGTGAGTTTTGTTTTTTCCTGTATAATGATCAAGCCATCAGGTTCTTTTGGGAACTTAAAATCAGGTTACCATTTCGAAACTTCGGTCTACGATTTGGTGGGAATTTCACCAAAATTGGACAAGAATGAAAAAAACTACAGGGCAACCAATTTTGTTAATTTAGTGGTGTCCGTTTTTTCTTGGCGGGTGAATGTATTTCGATAATATTGAAGAATAAATAGTAATTTTTTGGCACACCTCGTATGTTTGTTGTTCGGTTGTCGCATTTATGTTTATATTATGATTTCGTAATCAAGTCTGGGGTTTTTTATTTCCACTTTCAGTGTCATTTATCTGAAATCATCGGTGAAAACGGCGGAAATTTCGACTTCCTCCGTAGATCCCATATCGAAATTATCTTCCGCAAAATTGTCGGTTTTACCGTGGAAGATCTTCGCTCCCAATAAATTAATTTATTCCATCGATACAAGATGTGGAAGTTTTCGTTGTGGCTGAATGTTCCGCAATACTTTTTCTCTAGTGACAGGGAACTGTATTATGTTATATATAGGTCATAAGTAATATTTCTTATCTGCTCTATTTGTGTTTTTTTCAATGCTTTCTTTACTACTACGGGATTCTTACATGGTGAGTGGAACTTTTTTGTTATCAGAGATTATTTGTTTCATTGCATGAAGCGGCGTTCACAACCAAACTTTTTACGTTTTGATTTTTACGTTTCGTATTCTGATTGGTGAAGCAAAAGCTGTAATTGAAATGACGCGAAAAGTTGAAAATATTCAGCTTTTTGCGTTGCAAGAAACTATCGTCTGTGAAAATAGTAAAAATAGACAAATGATATTGTTATAAAAATAGAAAATACTACTGTTAGTTCTGATTCGAATAGAACAATACATGTATGGAACATCCTATATGGAAGTTATGATAATTTTTTTGCTCATGATTTTTTCTTTTCTATTCATTATTTTCTTCTTGAGGATTGATTTTCCGCTTCAAGTATTGAATAAGGCGATGAATTTTATTAATTATCTAATTATCTAATCAATAGCATTGATTAGATCATCTCACTTCATTTCAGAATGAAACACGAATGACAAAACCAAGGCAACTGAGAAAATCCGTAAAAAGTCAATTTGATATTTTTTTGTGAATGACATTTGCATAAGTTTAATTCACATTTAATTTCAGATTCTGCTTCACCAATCAGAATACGAAACGTAAAAAGTTTGGTTGTGAACTCTGCTAGACAATTTTCTATTATTTAACAAAATTCAGTGTCAGCCCTGTTGGCACTATCAGATGAAAATCACCTAGTCCTAGTATGGAAATTCTAATGTCAATTCAGCTACAAAAGTTTTTTAGATATTGAAATTGCCATTGTTTTTGAAAAACGTTTATTATTTGCACGAATGTATAAAAAATCTGACTCAAATAAACTGCTCTGAAAACCAATATATTCTTTGAAAACGAATATTCTCAGATAAATTATGAACATGAAATTGAAATTCTCTATCCAACCATGTATCACAAAGTGGCATTTATTTCTTAATTCGCTGTTGAATTGCTTTTTATTCAAAAAGAATAAGTTGGCTGTGACATGAATTCGATGATATATATCGACACTTGGTAGGCTTTGAAATTTAAATATCATTAGTAAACCGATATTATTCAAAATGTTTTGATATTCTGATCAATGTCTGCAGGTTGTCCATAGCTTGTTTGAGTCAAGATGAAAACCTTCGAAAATAATTCATGATATTGAGGAATCTAAGATATTAACAACATATCGACTTTTTCGTTTCTTGAATACATTTTTCGTCTCTAATGATGATATGCAATTTTAATCAACACACAATTGAAGAAGAAAAATTATTGATGCAATCGATTAACTGTCAAACACATAAAACATTTTGTGTAGGTACACCGTCTACTAAGTGAAATAATTATGAAAAAATAGACTGATATCCCTGTGGATCATAATATAAAAGGAACAATAATTTTAGTTTTATTATTCCAAATGGAAAGATCATGTGATAGGTACATGGCGAAAATAAAAGACAGATAGTTTCTGTACGAGTAGCTGAATTCGAAAAAATATGTTCCTATCTTAGATTCCTCAATATCATGAGTTATTTTCGAAGGTTTTCATCTTGACTCAAACAAGCTATTGACAACCTGGAGACATTGCTCAGAATATCAAAACATTTTGAACGAGATTTTGAATAATATCGGTTTACTAATGATCTTTAAATTCCAAAGCCTACCAAGTGTCGATATCTCATCGAATTCATGTCACAGCCAACTTATTCTTTTTGAATAAAAAGCAATTCGACAGCGAATTAAGAAATAAATGCCACTTTGTGATACATGGTTGGATAGAGAATTTCAAGGCGAAAAAGATAGACTGAAGAAATGTACAGGGTGACATTTAAAAAAAAAGTTGGGGTCACTTCTGGTCAAACAGGTGGTTGAAAAAAATTGTCGTTAAGTTCGTAAATTGCGCTACCATTTATTATATACCCCCTGTGAATTTCAAAATTTTATCTCTTCCAATAAAAAAACTACAGGCTGCTACATGTCTCCTGTGTCACCCGGTATATACAGGGTGTATTTAATAACACCGAAAAAATTCAAGGGGTGTTTCCTTGTGACATTCTAGCAAATAAAGTTCATATGTATGTATACATATACAGCGTGTCTCATTGCAAACGGCCCCCCTCTATATCTCAGCTATCAGTCGTGCGTTCTTTACCAAATTTTGTATCGGTATGAATAATCATCAATATGACCAGTTCTTCAAAGACAAAGATCATTTTAGACAGTGCCGTGCGTTTTTATTGAAATGAATAGGGGTTAGTTTTTTATTAAATCATATTAGGCATTTTTTCACAGAAAAACTGACCTCATAATATTGTTCTTCATGGTTTCAAACCCACATAATATGTGGATTTTCATAAGATGCCTATGAAGAGTTTCAGAAAAACAGGCACATCTAAACAGCATTTTTGCGAACGTAATAATTATTTACTCGGAAACGGTGATTTCACCATATAAAAAGAATAACTCGTTTTTCCTTGAAAATCATGATTTTCCACCTATTGGAGCCATTGAACGTTCCAAAATTCGTAGTTGATTTGAAGTCACTATTTATTCCAGACTGAAAATGAAAAAAATTAAACCAATCCTGTTCATTCGGAATTAGGTGATTTTTTGCATATGGGGGTTCTAAAGCATCAGGAACAATACTGTGAGGTTAGATTTCCTGTGAAAAATGCCTAATATGATTTTATGAAAATCGACCCCTTTTTAGTTCAATAAAACGCACGGCACTGTCCAAAATAATGTGCATCTCTGTAAAACTGATCATATTGATGGTTATTCTTCATACTACATCAAATTTGGTTGAAATCGCATGACTAATAACTGAGATATAAAGGGGGGCCGTTTAAAGTGAGACACGCTGTATAAAGAAATATATTGAGAATTCGCATTCTCTATGTGATGAAAATATCAATTATTTCTCGGTTTATTCAACAGAAAACAATACAAAAAAAATATTCTTTGTTTGGTAATGCTCTCTATATTATGAAAATATATGTAAATTATTGAACTAGAAAAAAATTATCGGTCTTTGTTACTATTGAGTATTTTAGGAAGATGGCATCGAATTTCGGACACACTGTATAAAAATTAGCTAACATTGAATGGAAATCAAAGGGAGTCAATAAAACTGACCATGAGCTTTTGCGTAGTACCGAATTTTTCAAATCACTGCCTATTAACCAGAACATTTCATTATTTTTTCCAGGTTTTGTGGATACCTCTCCTTTATCGCTGCTGCCAAATTGTACAAAAGATGTTGGTGATGATGACGTTTTCATGGTGAGTTCAATCACGAAAAATAATGTTTCAATGAAGTTTGTTGCGATGTTTGTTGAATTAAATCCACCAAATATAGCCTCAATAAAAGTTGCATAATAACGGAGATCAATTCAACATCTCAGACATTTTCAAAGAATTTCATTACGGTCCTGTCTCATCCGATCCTCTTTTTCATTTGTTTCTTTTGAGCATTGTCAAGCAATATAGCATGTTTATGACGATATTGCACTTATTGAAAAGGAATATTCTCAGATATTTATGAACATAAAAAAATGGATATATACAGTGTCATTCATAAAGTCGGCATCATATGGGAAACACTTTTATTAATGCCTTATTTTGGAATTCGAGTTGTACGTTAAGTTTTGCTTCGAAACAGATGGAAAATGGCCTACTCAATCAGGGTCACGTGACTTTCGCTACATGAAAAGTGACATTTTTTCAAATTATTGCTGAAAGTAGGCTTATTTGTTCGAATATCGAAAAAGTTCACTTGAAAAAGTTGTTTCTATTCCAATTTTACACATGCTTCCTGAATTTGATCTTCCTATTGCAATTTTAAGATTTTGATTTTTTTTTTAATTTTTCGAAATTTCTGTAATATTTGAAGAATTGTTAATTCCACGAAACTACTTCATACCAGTAGCTTTTTCATGCTACTTACTTTCAATTACTTATTATTATTTATATTATATAAGAAATATTATTTTCTTCAGAAAATGATAATACCCGCTTCCAAATTCTGTTATGTTTGATGCAAAGTTGATATATCGTCAAGCATTTAGAAACAAAATTCATTTGAACTGATCTTTTCAGTACTGAAAAAATAAGTTTGAATGAATTTCGTTTCTAAATGCTCGACTCAAACAACAGAATTTTGATGTTATGTTTGCATCAAACATAACAGAATTTTGAAGCGGAGATTATCATTTTCTGAAGAAAATCATATTTTTGTCGATAATTAGTGATAATTAGTGATTGAAAGTTAGTAGCATGACGAAACTACTGGTATGAAGTAGTTTTATCGAATTTACAATTTTTTTAATATTACAGAAATTTCGAAAATTTTTAAAAAATATCGAAATCTAAAAAATGTAATAGAAAGATAAAATACGAGTCACATATGTAAAATTTAAATAGAAACAACTTTCTCAAGTAAACTTTTCCGATATTCGAACAAATAAGCCTACTTTCAGCGATTAATTTGAAAAAATGTCACTTTTGACATGTAGCGAAAGTCACGTGACCCCGATTGAGTAGTCCATTTTTCATCTTTTTTGAAGCAAAACTTAACGTCCAACTCGAATTTCAAAATAAGTCATCAATACAAGTTTTTCCCATATGATGCCGACTTTATGAATGACACTGTATATATATAAAGAAATACATTGAGATTTCGCATTCTCCATGTGATGAAAATATTAATTCTTTCTCGGTTTATTCAACAGAAAACAACTACTTTCCTGGCTATATGCCACGACGAACATTGAATTACATCTATTGAACACACACGAAAAGAATTTGGAAACAAAATCTTCTGAAATAGAGAATTTGCATTCTCCTTCATATAATAGTTATTTATGTAATAAGGATCATAAAGACGATCATTATGGTACAAGTCGTGAATGTTATCGGGCGAGGCGTAGCCGAGTCCGATAACACGGCGTGTGCCATAATGATTGTGTAATGTTAGGATTAATAGGTTCAAGTCAAGCACCACCCATGTACCATAATATGTCTTTATTATATCCTAGTTCTTCAAAGACTCCCTAAATTGAATATCATATCGTTGGTTCCCCAACACCAAATGTTATGATTACAATATATAAATAAGTAAATGTAAACATGTAAATGAAAGTTATTATACAGTATGATCATGATCGAATACCTACTACATCTCCCATGGGATGCTGAAAAATTTTCCTAAAAACATGTAAAATTTTTAAATCTATCAATTTTCATGACCTAAATAAATCAACAATTCTTTATTCTCATTATGCAATAAAATTCACCATAAACAAACCTAACTATACGAAATATCTAAACATAATTTCCGCTTACTAAGAGAAATATGTGGAACGAAAGAAATGTTTTGCTAAAACAATAACCTGATGCATAGGTAATTATTATGTTTATCAAACATTATATGGTTTAGTTCTATTTTTGTGAACTACAATTTCTTTGTTATTTTTCGAAATCCTAACATTGGGTGTTTCATCACTTATTACCACATATGGTCCATCATAAATAGGATCCAATTTATTACCCACTTCATTTTTAACTAACAATAAATCATTTTTCTTATATTTTACAGAATTTACATTCCTATCATAATACTGTTTTCTTTTTATTTTGCTCGCAATCAAATTGTTTCTTGCTTCTTCCTGAGATTTCTGTAATCTGAATTTTAGTTCTAAAGGATAGTTATCGAAATTGTACAAAGGATCAACATTGTTCATCAAATTATTTGGAATATTACAAACCCTACCGAAAACTAACTCAAAAGGGGTAAATTTAGTTTCTGAGTGTACCGTTGTATTGTACGTGAAACACCAATAAGGAATCCATGAGCTCCAAACAGAACTTTGGTTTCCCGTTTGTATTCTGAGATATGCTCCTAAATTTTTATGTGAATTTTCTAATGCTCCAATACTTTCATGATGGTAGGCTGTAGACTGTAGTTGCTTGATTTGCAATAATTTGCAAACTTCGGTCATTGTTGATGAAATAAATTCTGAACCTCTATCTGTAGCAATCTCTTTTGGAATGCCGTATCTCAATATAAAGTTATCAACAAAAGTTTTTGAAACTGTTATACTATCTTTTGATTTCATCGGATAAGCCTCGACAAATTTTGAAAGTTCACACTGGAGTGTTAATATATATGAAAAATCATTTTCATCTTTTTCTATAGGACCTACAATATCCAAATAAATTTTTTCGAAAGCTGTTGTAGCGGTTGTGGTTATTACCATTGGCTGTTTCGTATGTATGCTATGTTTTTGTTTTTGACAATTATCACATTTTTTAACAAATGCAGTTACATCTTTAACAATTCCTGGCCAAAAATAATATTTTTTTATATTATTTACCATTCTGTTGATTCCTGCATGACCACTGGTTGGTAGTAGATGAAAATCATTCAATATCAATTTCTTTGTATCATTATTTTCAATTCTTTGAACTCCTTTTATTACACATAAACGGGGACCGGTCCATTTGGAGTTTTCTTTTATTCCACTTACTAGTTCTTTTATGAATTGCACATTTTCGTCATTTTTTATTATTGTTATTTCCGGAATATTATATTTCTCACATAATGTTGTCAAATCTCTCAACAGTACGTCTCGCGTGAATGCCGATCGAGTATTTGGTTTTACAAAAATTGTGGAAATTGATGACACATAATACAAAGTTTTCGTATTTATAATTGAATTTGCATGATTTTTCAAAACACTTTTTCCGTCGTCTTTTGTCAATAGTAACAATTCTATACTTCCTTTAGGTTTTTTCAGAACTTCCACAATGTTTGGTTGATCAGGCCGATTCATCGCAGAAGTTTCTTCAACTTTTTCGTCATTCACTTTTGTTTTTGCTTGTGCTCTCGTCATTACCGTCATTAAATTCTCATTCATACTTTTCAATTCATTCAAAGTTACAATCACTCGAGATAAACAATCAGCTGTAACATTCTCGCTTCCTCTCACATACTCAATATGAAAATCATACTCTTCTATACACAAACGAAATTTTGTTAAACGACTTGATGGATTAGAATGGTTGAATAAATAGATCAAAGGACGATGGTCAGTCAGTATTTTGAAATGTCTGCCATAAAGATATGGACGAAAGTGTTTTATTGACCATACTATTGCTAAAAGTTCCTTCTCAATTGTAGAGTAGTTTATTTCAGACTTATTTAACCCTCTACTGGCGTATGCAACTGGTTTGTTATTTTTATTTGATAACACAGATCCTATTGCAAATCCTGAGGCATCTGTTTGTAATATGAATTCATTTTCCGTAGAGAAATCTGGGTATTCAAGAACTGGTGGCTGTATCAGTGCTTTCTTCAAAAGTTCAAAAGATTGTTGACATTTTTCCGTCCAAACAAATTCAACATTCTTGCGACCTAGATTATTCAATGGTACTGCTATTTCAGCGAACTTTGGTATATGTTTCCTATAGTAATTCGCAAATGCAATGAATCGTTTTACGTCACCCGCATTTTTTGGACATGGAAACTGTTGCATCACCATACTTTTTTGTGGGTCAGGTAAAATACCTTTTGAAGAAATTAAATGTCCTAAATAAAGTATTTCCTTCTTTAGAAAATTACACTTTGACGGATTCAATTTTAAATTCACATCTCTCAATCTATTGAAAACATTCAGTAAGTTTTTATTATGATCTTGCAAATTCCTACCGAAAACGATAAGATCATCCAAATATACGAAACATTGTTCATAATTGAGACCTCACAAAGCGACTGTCATTACCCTAGAAAAAAAACTTGGAGACGTCTTCAGACCCATCGGAAGACGTTTCATCTGATACTGACCTTTATTCGTTGTAAAAGCTGTATACTGCCTACTTTCAGGGGTTAATTCAACTTGATAATAACCTTGACTTAGATCAAGATGAGAGAAATATAACGCTCCCGATAAAGAATCAAGGATTTCCGTTATGTTGGGCAGAGGAAATTTATCGTCATGAATTTTTTGGTTTAGTTGTCTATAGTCAACTACAACCCTCCATCTTTTCTCACCACTATCATCTGCCTTTTTGGGAACAAGCAAAACTGGTGAGGACCATCCACTTTTTGCCTCTTCGATAATATCTTCTTCACGCATTTTTCTGATTTGTTTATCCAATTCAGTTTTCTGCGCGTGAGGAATTCTATATGGTTTCACATATACAGGGTTGACATTGTCTTTGAGTTGAATCGATTGTTTGTATATATTTGTTGTTGATAATTTATCACCTGGTAGATGAAAAAT